TTTCGTCGCCCTGTCTCTCTCGCACTCATGCGGCGTTCCGTAGAGGTGCGAGAGAGACGGCGGCTGGCCGAGCCGCCCCTCCGACAAGGCCGCCCTGCGCTACTCCACGCCACCTCAACACGCCCCGTAATAAATGTAACGAGCTGGATGTAAGGGGATGCGCGGGGCGCAGGGCGCAGGCCGCGCAGGCCCATGGGGCTGGGCGTGGCGAGGCCGTGGTCGTGACGAAGCCATGGTCGTGACCATGGTCTTGGCGTGGCCGAGGTCGTAACCATGGTCGCGGCGAGGCCATGGTCGTGCTTGGGGAGGTCGTGGCTATGGTCGTGACCATGGTTGTGGCGAGGCCATGGTCGTGACGAGGTCGATGTCATGACAAGGTCGAAGTCGTGACCACGGTAGTGACGAGGTTGAGGTCGTGACCATGGTTGTGGCGAGGCCATGGTCGTGACGAGGTCGATGTCATGACAAGGTCGAAGTCGTGACCACGGTAGTGACGAGGTTGAGGTCGTGACCATGGTCGAGGCCATGGGTGGAGCTGTGCCTAGGCTGGGACGAGGCCGCCGAGCATCCCGCCCTTATTCCCCATCAGCCAGGCCGCGCGCCGCAATTAGTGGAACCAATCAAAAACTAAAACACAAACAACAAGAAAAACAAAACACGTCGTCGGATATCCGACATGGAAGGAAGGTCCCCCTTCCTCGGCTTGTCAATTATTTCGTGGTGGGACTTGGGTGACCGACCGTCCGGCCGACACGCTATCACACACTGCTTTCGTCGCTGTCTCTCTCGCACTCGCGTGGCGGCCCGTTGGGGCCCGCTGCGGCCCGCTGGGGTGCGAGAGAGACAGCGGCTGGCTCGTCGTGACACGAGTTTCGGCGATGGGGCCCGGCCGGCCCGGCCACGTGCGTGCACCCAATTCGCGTCTCAAACAGACGACCCTAGCGCTCAAGCGGCCGTCACGCGAAGCTCCAATGATGGGGCCAGTGAGGTTAAGGGAAGGCTGGCTGCAAGTGTGTTCCGCGTGCTGCGCGTTCCAGTTTTTGTGTTTTAAGTATTATAAAGTGATCCTTGAGCAGTGCAATGGCTCCCTACCTTGAGCTTGAGCACATATGTCACGCACAGCAAGGTTTCCTTCGACCTCTGGTGGAAGGAAGGCTTGCTGTGGAGAATATTGTGACCATTGGTGTGAAAAGCCGGAGGGGAAATGAAGTTGAAATAGAGGCGATCGTCGTTCGAAGTACAAACATTAACAAGGACCCGGTCACTGTTAATGTTTGTATAATGTACAAAGAAGCCGTCGTCGAGAAGAGGATAAAAGATATAAGCTGCACTTGCCCAGCAGGCGCGTGCAAAAAGCACTGCTGCAAGCATGCAATGGCAGTGATCATCCACTTGGAAAGGTGATATTAGCTAGCTTATTGTCGATTCGTTTGAGCCCTATAGTGTTTCCCGCGATGAGTGGAAGTGACATGTTTGTATTTGTGTTTTAGGAAGGATGAGTCGGAGATAGAGGTCCTCACGTGCACAGACACAAAACAAGTTTGGGACAAACTGAAGGAGTCCACTATGAGCAAATTCGACCCAGTCCCTGTCTCGGAATTTTGTTGCTTCCCCAAAACCACACCTGTGTACCGGCGGCGTGTCAATAAGGTCACCCCGGATTTATTGGCAAGAGTGAAGGAAGTGTCTCTTAAGGCTCACCCTCAGTCAGAGGCAGCAATATTTTGGATTGGAGTGAGAGAACCCAAGGCTGTTGAACCACAGGTGATGGCTTGCCCCAGTCCAAGACTTACTACATTTTTTCAAGATGCTGTTAGTGAGCCCTACTACTTAGTCAACAAGGCTCATCAGCTTAGCCAGGAGCTTCTGGCTAAGTGCAGCCCTGCTGAGAGAGAGTATTATGCTCAAAATATTGTGCTGTCTACGGATGAGGCCCTGCAAATATTCTTGGGCACCACAGAGCAGGATAACAGTACTTGGGATGGGGCTAGATTTGGAAGGATAACCGGTAGTATTTCGTATGAATTATTTACATATTATCTTAATAAGACACCTGATTGGGAAAATAAATTAACTGGGGTTTTTGAAAATAGGTACAAGAATGATGCCATGGCTGCAGGTAATTTGTATGAATCATATGCTTTGAAAAAGTATGTTCTAGAGGAAAGTAAAAAGCAGGCAGGGTTGGAGTCAGTTAAAGTAGGTATTCTAATCAATCCATTACTTCCTTGGCTGGGTTTCAGTGCTGATGCTGTGATATGTATAAATAATGTTGTCAGTAAACTGTGGGAAAATAAGACACCTGTAGCAGGAAGGCGAGTAAATGCATCAGGTATCTGTAAACATTTGGCTTACATGAACAAGGAAGGGAAGTTGAAGCATAAATGTCCACATTATGGGCAAGTTCAACTAGGTATGGTTTTGTTGAATCTGCAAGTATGTGATTTTACTGTTTATTGTACTGGTCCAGTTTTACCACTAAAGCCTAAGCCTAATCCTCTAATTGAATCTGTTCATGTAGAGACTGTAGTAATAAATCATACATTTTGTGACAAATATTTAAAAAGGCTTTGTCATGTGTATTTTGAAAAAATCCTGCCATGGCTTACAGAAATATCTGAAGAAGGTGATCATTAAATAAGATTGCTCATCATAATTTCCTGTTTATTTTTCACCTTTTCTGCTACAAACAATCACTGAGGAAATTTGCCATCAGCTAGTATTGGGGCACCAAGATTCACTAAAGCACACACAATCAACACCACATCATCAAAGTATGGTACAAGTCTCCATGGCAACTTGTTTCTGAGAAGGTGATACTCTCTAATTCTTTGAATACTTCTTTCCACGTGAACCCTTGCCCTAGCAATATTAGAACACTGGAATGATTCTGGCCTAGGAAAACAGATCTTTCGCCTTAAAAATGGAGGGCGAATCATAACAAGGCAATGTTGAAGACATTCATCTTCGATGGCAAAACCTTTATCAACCATTACACCATCACTGTATTCACATTTATCATACAGTTTGGAATGTGATGTAATGAATTTATCTGATGCTCTTCCACCATAGTTTCTGCTGACAAAGCTTATTAGACCTGAGGGGGCACAGCCTAATAACACTTTAAGTGTGTATCCTTTCTTATATTGAGAATACAGGCGAGTTCTGCATCTCACACACTTGGGCTTCTCAACAAACAGCTCAAAACAATCAAGCACAATCCTTGTGTTCTTGAACGTAGCAAAACATTTAGGCATGTTTTTCAATATATTCTCCTTAGGCGGCCACTCAACCAAACAAGTCAACAGACTTGCTAACACTCTTACAGAGTCATAAAAATAATTGCAAGCATTTTGAACACTTATGTCAAAAAATACAGCTAAAGTAGAGAAAGATAAAGCCAACTTAATTTTCATCATTGTCAATAATATGCGGTCTCTAGTTGGCAACAGAAATTTCTTCTTTGGATTTTCTGGAGCAACTTCATTAAAAAAAGAAGTTAAATCATTCAGATACTCCACTGAGTACAGACCCGTTGTAGAAAACAATTTACTGTCACTGCTCATAAGGCTACTAACAAATGCTTCATTTTGCACATACGTACCAACTTGCACACCGACAGTCTTAAACTTTTCTATATCTTCTTCTTCCATGTCAGGAACATCCAACCACCCATCGTTGGCTTCACCTTCCTCGTCACTTGTTTGGCCATCTACAATATACACAATAGTACGGAGTTTACTTGCATTTTATGCACAGAAATGAGAAATTGCACACCAATTAATAGACAAATACAAAAGTACATCACACTGATTACAATTAAGGAATAAGTAAAAAATTATCTTAATAAAAAAGCACTTTGTAAAAAAGATTTGAGCCGTTGCTTGGATCTAATATGAACAATAGTACGGAGTTAATAAGATATTGCACAACAATAAAAGAACAATCATAAAAAATATCACACAGATTACATTTGAGAGGAAAAAGAAATGTATTATCTTAATAAAAAGACTTAGAAAAATATTGGGGCCGCTAATTAGATCTGGCTCAATATGGGGAGAATAGAAAAAGTTCTAGATTATCACAGCTATCTATCACAGTCCGACGACTTACAACTAGTTGCAGTACCTGTAGAATCAAAAGATTCTGCCCTTGTTTCAAGCTCGTTCTCCTCTTCACACACCCACATGGTTCTTTTCTTTGCCCTGTCTGCTCTAGCAGATTTCTTCCTTTTAACAGGGGATGTCTCCACTCTCTCGTGACTTCGAATAGGTAGATTCTGAGAGGGTACAGCTGTCTTCTTCAGCGAAGGCTTCTTACTCCCTGTTGATCAAACCGATATTAGTGGACACCAAGGGGAACATAACCTGCTCTTGTCACACCACATACGACGACAGTTAGTCATTCTCGCTCATAATAACCTACCTGTAGGAAGGTAATCATCTTTGCGGAAGTGTTTACCGCAAACTAGCATGTATTGGGTCAGTTCTTTTCCCGTTCGTATGGCCACTGCCCATTTCTTCTTACGCACTGGGTCTGACGGCACTCTATGCATGTGAATCGACGGATTTTTATACACCGAGCACTGTGGAACGCAACAATTGTGTTTCTCGTGTTTCCTTTTAGGCTTCTGCCGCACATAGCAAGTATGATCCATTGCTGTACTGGCAAATTTCGGGCAGAAAAAGGGAAACAACAGCGCGTCCCGTAACTGTCAACACCACGCGAGCCCGTCTGCGAGCTGTCATCGCCCCCACACGCGTAGTTCCCGAAACGGCCGCTCGAGCGCTAGGAGCTCCATTTGAAACGCGAATTAGGGGCGGTACGGCGGCCCCGGACGGCCCCGCACGGCCCGGCCCCAACGGGACGACGGCAAGGACTCAACGCCCGGCTAATAGTGCAGTGCTTCCTCGCACACGCGCTCTCTCCCTCGCACCCCTCCGGCACGCCGGCACGCCCCGCGAGAGCGAGAGAGACAGCGCTCGGGGCTTCTGGCTCGTCTTCCGCCGTGACTCCGTGACACACAAGTGCAGTGTATACCCAATAATTCAAAAAGTGTGCTCCCGATAGCCTGGAACTCCAGTCCACGTCGAGACAGCCAGAGTGCTCCTGGAGTCCCGGAGACGCTCCGGCCCGTCCTTTGTTCGCTCGAGTAGCCGCTCCTCCGGGCTTCCAGGACGAAGGCGCACAGTGGGCCAGAAGACCGGTGGAGGCGGACTCCACGGACCCCACGCGTCCTCATCCCCCTCGCCCCTACACCCTCGCTTCGCTTCCTGCCCCCACGCGTCCTCGTCTCCCTCGCCCCTACACCCTCGCTTCGCTTCCTGCCCCCACGCGTCCTCATCCCCCTCGCCCCTACACCCTCGCTTCGCTTCCTGCCCCCACGCGTCCTCGTCCCCCTCGCCCCTACACCCTCGCTTCGCTTCCTGCCCCCACGCGTCCTCATCCCCCTCGCCCCTACACCCTCGCTTCGCTTCCTGCCCCCACGCGTCCTCATCCCCCTCGCCCCTACACCCTCGCTTCGCTTCCTGCCCCCACGCGTCCTCATCCCCCTCGCCCCTACACCCTCGCTTCGCTTCCTGCCCCCACGCGTCCTCATCCCCCTCGCCCCTACACCCTCGCTTCGCTTCCTGCCCCCACGCGTCCTCATCCCCCTCGCCCCTACACCCTCGCTTCGCTTCCTGCCCCCACGCGTCCTCGTCCCCCTCGCCCCTACACCCTCGCTTCGCTTCCTGCCCCCACGCGTCCTCATCCCCCTCGCCCCTACACCCTCGCTTCGCTTCCTGCCCCCACGCGTCCTCATCCCCCTCGCCCCTACACCCTCGCTTCGCTCCCTGCCCCCACGCGTCCTCATCCCCCTCGCCCCTACACCCTCGCTTCGCTTCCTGCCCCCACGCGTCCTCATCCCCCTCGCCCCTACACCCTCGCTTAGCTTCCTGCCCCCACGCGTCCTCATCCCCCTCGCCCCTACACCCTCGCTTCGCTTCCTGCCCCCCCCCCCCTTTCCTCTTCCGAGCGCCACAGTTATCATGGACACAATGGTGACCCGCGCGACCAGAGCGGTGGCGGAGAACAATCGACTCGCGAGTCGATATATCGACGGAGAGTGGCGACGGGAGAAAACGAGCGCGGCGTATTACGCGGCGAGGCGGGGCGAGGCGGGGCGAGTTCCTCCACCTCACCAAGTCCACCGCGGTGCTCGCCAGCAGCCCGCCGCACAGTGGGCCAGAAGACCGGCCGGCGCAGGCGGCCAAAATTCTAGAGGCGTTTTGAACTGCAGAGTCACTAAATGGGACTCGAACCGAACGTGTGACCCCACCAATGGATTTCTCGTTCGGAGAGCAATTCATTGACGGGGTCACGCGTTCGGTTCTAGTCCCATTTAGCGACTCTGGAGCTCAAAACGCGTGTTGGCCACCTCCACCGGTCTTCTGGCTCACTGTGCGCCTCCAGTGCCCCTATCTCTCTCGCACCACCTCACTCGCGCTCGCAGGTTAGATTGTCCCGTTGGGTGCGAGAGACACGGAGCGACTCTTTGGAATCAGTCTGCCGTCCCGAGTGCGCGTGTCGTCTCGACGCCGCCGTCGAAGCGTGCGCTCTGTCTCTCTCGCACTCGTAGGCAAGCAGAGCGTCCCGTTGGAGTGCGAGAGAGACAGATCGAGGAACGCTGTGCGGAATCAGTCTGCAGGACGGGCAGGAAGGGGTCAAGGGCGGCTGAATAATAGACGGACACGTCTACGTCAGGACGGGCAGGCAGGGTGGCTGGCAGGGCAGGACGGGCAGGAGCTCCATTCCCACCCGGCGGGTGATCCCATCCCAACCCACAGTGGGCCAGAAGGCCGGTGGAGGCGGCAAAAATTCGAGACGCGTTTTGAGCTCCAGAGTCGCTAAGAGAGGCTCAAATCGAACGTGTGATCCCACCAATGGATTGCTCTCCGAACGAGGAATCCATTGGTGGGGTCACACGTTCGATTCAGTCCTGTTAAGCGACCCTGGGGCTCTGCACGCGTCTAGTGTTTTGGCCGCCTCCACCGGTCTTCCGGCCCACTGTGCAACCATTCCGGTCCCCGTCCCGCGCAGGCCAGCCTGGCCGGGCCAGCGCGTGTGGCGCTGCGCCAGGGAGCCTCTCCGCTCCACTCCGCTCCAGGTCAACTCAAATCGAATTAGTTTTCTCGCAGGGCGCCTCGCCTCGCCTCGCCGCGCCCCGTCTCGCCCCGTCCTCCTCGGTCGGCACGGCAGACACCTGTCCAGCCGTTTGACAGATCACGTAACATCCGCGGGCAGCACGTCTCCCGGGGACAATACTCGGAGGGGGGGGAGGGGGGGGCACGTCCGAATGCGTAACACAGCGAAACACGGCCTGGTGCGCCGGCCGGGCCACACAAAACACGGACAAGCACCCCGTTCCGTTCCGTTCCGCCCCGCCCCGGCCAAGTTCTGTTTACTCTGGTAACGCGAGAAGCCAGGCAGTCAGGCCCGCAGGACAAGGGCCGCGCCGGCGAGGCGAAGCAAGGCGAGGCGAAGCAAGGCGAGGCGAAGCAAGGCGAGGCGAAGCAAGGCGACTGCAATAAAACGGAGCCCCGGGATCGCGACGACGCGGAGCGTCGTTGACGGCGAGGAGGAGAGCGCCTGTCGTCCTGCTAAAAGCCGGCCAAAAAAAGAGGGAGAGCGGAAAAAAAGGAGAGCAAGAGGGGAGGAGCGGCGCTCACGACGCGCTTGCGACACTCCGGCCTGCCTGGCCTGCCTGGCCCGCCTGGCCTGCCACACGCACTAGATTGCCTCGCCGAGACGCGGCGGCGCCGTAGCGGCTGCCGGTCGAAGTCGGTGTGCGGCACACTGTGCGCCGCGCGGCCGGGTCGACGCGGAGAGGCCGCCAAACCGCGTCTCCCCGTCCGCGGCGTCCGCGGCCCCGTCCCACCGCGACAGTGGCGGAGTGGCGGTGCCGGGCCGCGGGGTTGTCGGCCTACTCGACCCAGTCGCCGAGTGGGAGGGAGTGAGACAGACGTCTAATCAATCAGGGCGAATGTGTGACTGTCCGGCCGTCGCTCTGTCTCTCTGCGACCCCCTGCGACGACGGCACGCTCCGCGAGTGCGAGGGAGACAGAGCGTCCTTTGCCCCCGCGCCACTGCAAGACGCGCCGACAGGAATCTTTATTGCGCTTCGCGGCGCTGTGAGCTCTGCGCTCTGAGCCGCGCTGCGCTGCATTGCGGCGCCCGGCCTAGGGCATGGCCTTCAGGGACGGAGAGCGGGGCCCGGCGGGGCCTGCGGGCCGATGCCGTGTCTCTCTCGCACTGTGGTGGCAGAGCGACGAGACGAGCCACTGTCCGGATACCGAATCGCTGATCACAGCGCTCTGGAGCGGCCCGAGCAGTGTGCTGGACGCGGCCAACGGCGGCAGCAGCCACGGCAGCCACGCATTCCAGCGCCACCCCACAGGGCTCCACCGCGCTGGCTCCACCGGGGTGGCCGCACAGCAGCAAGCGGCAGCGAGGCGCATGGCGTGAGGTACACAGCCAGGAGATGTGGGCCCGGCGCAGGCCTCGGCCCGGCGCAGCCCGGCTCTGCCCGGACCCGGCCGGGGGGAGACAAGGGTGGCAAGGGTGGCGTGGGGCGACGGGGAGGGTGGCCGGAGAGGATCGATACAGGCGGGCCCCCAGGGTGGAGGGGGGAGGCGGCGGATTTAGGACGCCCCGCAGCCCCCCTCGCCCGCACTGCCCTGCAGGGCCCCCGCCACCCCCCGCCCCGGGGCCACGCTGCCACGCTCTGACCAAGAGAAGGCCTGCCGGACCGGACCGCCCCGCGCCCGCGGAGCCCTGCGGAGTCCTGCGGGCAAGCGGTTCATTTGCAACTTAGAGCGGGGGGCACTGGTGGAGCCGGACTGGCTGCCGCGGGCGGTACCCCGTACCCCCACCACCACGACGCGCGGCCGGACCGAGGCGCAGGCCCTCGCTCCAGGCCCTCCAGGCCCTCCAGGCCCTGGGCCGTCTCCAGCGTCTCCAGCCCCACGGCCTCGACGACGCCGACCTCGGCCGAAGATAAGGCGGCCGCGGCCGTGTTGGCGGACGGGGCGGACGGAGCGAGACTGGGCGCCGCCACGGCCTCGGCCACGTCGGCCGTATCGCGCCGCCGGTGCGGAATGGATTCTTGACTCAATTAGTGCTTCGAGCTTCGAGCGGCCACCTCTCCACTCGCCGCGCCCGCAGCACGGCCGACCCCCTCCCCTCCCCTCCCCTCCCCGTCGGCCTGGCGCGAGGAGGAGCCGCCTTCCGGCCCGGCCGCCTCAAAAGGCACACGGAGCCGGCGAGGAGCGCGGAATGGAGCACACGGGGGGCAAAGAAAGCCCCCCACTCGAGAGGAGAGCGCAGGCCGTACGGGCCGCACACTGTGCGCACAGGCCTCCCCGTGCCACCGCCATGACGCCGAGCCGCCCGACCGTGGATGTCAGCTGACAGACAAGGGACCTGCCGCTCCCTTTAGTGCAGGCGGCACGCCCTGCCCTGCCCTGCCCAGGCACATGAAAGCAACCACGCACGACGAGGGTCGCATGCCGGCGAGGAAAAAGGAGGGGGGGGCGGTGCCGCAGCCAAAATATTTTCCCGCCCTCGGCCGAGCAGCAGTCTCATGCCGAACATGCCTTGTTCGCTCCGTCTCTCTCGCACTCACAGGGCGTTCCCGGGGGTGCGAGGGAGACAGGTGCCGTGGCGCTTGTCATTTCATTAGTGCGCCGAGCACGTCCTGCGGCCGGCCGGCACAGCACTGCATG